CGAATCTAGTACAGCGCTTAAATTCATAAAATCTAGGTACCATAGAGGGAAATTGACCAGAACAATTATCATGAAAGTATTTATAGAAGAGGCACGTGGAAATTACATTACGCTTGGAAAGTGACTGAATCCAAGATGTCAGCTACCAATAACATTGTGATATGTCCCGGAATGGGATATATTTGATTGAAGTAGCTAAGTGGGGTTGGCTACTATAACCAAGTAGTACACGATAGAAGTAATTGACTGGTATTCGTCGTAGTCGCAGGTAATAAGTGTAGACCAATAGGATAGCCAATGGCGTAGTCCAGTGAGCGTCGTCATAGACTTAAACTGTCGTACCTACACGTCCGTCTGTATTTATGACGGACATCAGCCAATCACATTCCAGTGAGGGGGAACTCAGATGTATGCATATTCCATTATATCACATTGCAAATTCTTCTTTGGATTTTATCAAGAACTTCTAAATATATAGCAGAATCACCAGACCAGATGTAGCAGCAATATTCGAAGCATGGACGAGTGGTAGACATATAAATACAAAAGAGAGATTCTTGAGATAAAAAATTGTCTACCACGACACCGTGAACCAAATTTCCTAGCAATTATCTAGCATTTGATCCAATATAATCTTTCCACTTCAAGTCTGAAAGGTTAGCATCAGCCATGCTGATGAAAGGCAGAAAGGGGTCTCTTAGATGATTAAAAGAACAATTTCGTTTTGGAGCGTTAAAATTAACAAACTATTCCTTGTCTGTGTTAATAGCAGATTTCAGGTTACTTTTGAGATCAGCTGCCAATTTGAGCTTATCGAACTAACCAGACTTTAATGCCATGTCCTTTTCTATTACTAATTCCTCAACCAAATGTCATAGAAAGATTTACTTTCAAAGTGTTTTCTTTTTACACCACTGTGTTTTCTGCATGTTCAATGTGCTGAACTGTTACGTGATATCAATCCCCTTGTATGGTATTGAACGATGGACAACCTCACCACAGATGAGGAGAAAACTGGATGTAACAGAAATATAGTTCTACAGAAGGATACTAAGAATTCCATGGACGGAGGAAGTAAGCAACGAGGAAGTCTTAAGAAAATGGTAACAAAAAGAACACTTATACACAGAATCAGAAAAAGAGCAAGAATTTTTTAGACACTTAATGAGGAAGGATGGCTTAGAGAATTTGACACTAACAAGGACATATCGAGAGCAATAAAAATGGGAGAAAGCAAAACAAAAATATAATTAAAAAGACAAGAGGAAAACTATTCTTAGCCGACGAGTTTTGTCCTCTGAGGGTCATTATCAAGGTAATACAGGATTAATTTAATAAACTAGACAAATCCAAACACATAATAGTACCTACCAACTTCATAAAATCCAGTATACCAACTTGTCCCATCTAAACATGATCGATATAGTCACAACCAATTCCAAAACCATTATGGATATGACCAGGACTAAAACACACATAATAATAATTCAAAAGCAGGCATATATAAAATAAATTGCCAAAACTGTTCCTCACAATACATTGGGGAAACATGCAGAAATTTAAAAAACATATCTATGTAGGCTACCTGACAATCTTGTTTGAATGGATGACAAATCGAGGAAGCGAAAGACTTTGGCAAAGGAAAAAATACTGCTCAGCTAAGGGCTACAAAAAATAAAAAATAGTGGAGAATCATAATCGTTCACATCCTGAAGAGGGAAGACACATAGAAGAAAAAAAAAAACACTGAAATAGCAACATTAGGACATTATTTCTATTTTCTTTAATGACATATCCCTTTATAACATAGACAGTCAAGGCTCTCCACAGCCTCCTATCCTTTGTACAGATTCATTTTCTTTAACATCTACGGAGACTTCTGAAAGATATTGCAATTGTTTCTCGTTACTTTGTCCACGGTTTTGAATTCAGTATTGCCCTTCTCGTCTGACAGATGCAGAGAGGCCAGTCTATCGTTATTTAACCCATCAGTGGGGAGAGAAAAGATTGATAGATGCCTTTATCACGAATAGAGGATATTTAATTGGAATTGAAACTCGGATGCTTGATTCCACTTCCATCACTGATAATGCTACCTGTACGTTATACAGCATTATAAAAGACAGAATTCAAACATTAAGAATTCTCCCCCATCTAATAGTCAACTGTAAAATCTAGATCTCCTGTCGGTTAGAATATCGAAAAATAGTACTAAACACCGTAGAAATACACAATCTATCTATCTATCTATCTATCTATATATATATATATATATATATATATATATATATATATATATATATATATATATTGTTATGGTGGAACACACCTATTCTATAGTTAATAGACTCTCCCACCTATAATAAGTTGAGTAGTAAGATTAACGAGTCAGTCAGTCAGTGAGTCGATGTCGGACGACAGTTAGTCGATAACGAAAGTATCAGCGACTACCACAAGATTACTCTGCGTAATGCCTATTATATCAAGTTCCTAACATTTTGTACGTCGAACCTATTTTAAGACCGACTTAGTACAAATACAAGCCTCCACTGCGAAATAACTACACACACACACACACGTATATATATATATATATATATATATATATATATATAGTACCGTCGAATTCGACGTAAGAGGGTCAAGCAGATCAGTTGATTTGATTATAGTGATGAAGGCTTTGTTCAGAAGAAACCACACTTTTTGAATACAGAGACCTGGTGCCCTACGTGCCACAAGTTCCCCAAACGACTCTCTTTTGAATTCAGCGTTGTCCTTCTCCTAGACCAATTGCCATCCAAGGCTATAGAACCCAGTCTGTCCTGCTATTTACCCATAGCTGGAGGGAAAAGAGGATTAATACCTTTCCCAAGGGTATTAGCAAGTAAGTGAATGTAATGGATTTGACTGGAATTCGAACTCGGCTCTCCGATTCCTCAATTAAAGTCGCTATCCATTACTCCACCGTGCCTATCTCTCTCATCTCACTCTACCTCTCTCTTTCTCTTTATATATATATATATATATGTGTGTGTGTGTGTGTTAAATTCAACTAATAAGGCTTTTATTGTATTTTCCCTATTTTATAATGATATATCCAGATTGCAATTGTCAATAAATTGACCAAAGTTCAGGTTTGTTTCGGGTACATTTGACCTCGATTATTATCATTGTTGGTTTTATTTATGGACTACAAAGAAAAATTGGTGGCTTAGAACTCGATTAGTTTCTTTGGATTTGGATAAGGATTACTGCAACTTGAAATGATGGATGATTATTTCAGATA